CCCCCCGGAGCACTTCAGATTTTCGGGGGGGAGGGTCGGGGCACTTCAGATTTTTCGGGGTGGGGGGGCAGTTCCAGTTGATTTACTGTTGGATATATTTTTGCTGCGGGGGGGGGGACATGGCTTTCCCCAGGGGGGTGGGGGTAGTGCCCCCCTGGAGATATAGCTGAAAGAAACCCGGTTGGGGGGGGGTTTGGGGCGGCACTGAAATACAACGAGTAGAATCGCATTTCTCTTATATTTAACTTTTCGTAAAATATGATTGTAATTATTGATTCATATGTATATTTTTTAAACAAAATGATTATATTGGAGGTTAAAATAAACCGACAGTGCAGCGTATGATGCTGTATTAATAAGAATTTTATGGAAGAATGGTTCAGTTAACAAAATAACTCCAATGGCCACATAACTACAAACAAAAAATTGTACGCTGTCCCGTCTGGTTTTTGTTTTTTTTAAAAGACAAACAAACAAAAAACAAAATATTTAAAAGTTTGTTTTAAGGGAAAAAAAAAGTTTGAGAACCACTGCAGCAGATGAACCTTTGTGTGGTCAGGATACCCTAGGGATGTGTAGGCTTTCAAGTGTACGTTGGCCATTGGAACACAGTCTGCAGTTTTGTTGCTGTTAACATGGATGATCATAAAGTCAGTTACCGGAATTTTGATCGAAAGAAATTTCGTCGACGGTAAATTGATCGACGGAAATTTGATCGAACGGAAATTTGGTCGAATATTTTTTTTCGGTTCACACGTTAAAATTTTCATCAAATTTCTTTTATGACGCCCTATACTATATAGTAAAACAAAATAATGCGTTCAAAAAGAAATTTGAAGCATAATTTTAACGTAAAGACTGAAGAAAAAAAAATTCGACCAAAATTCAGTTCGATAAAATTACCGTCGATCAATTTAAAGTCGACGAAATTTCTTTGTTCAAATTTCCGGATACGCATAAAGTCTGTGACCGAGCTGTCAAGACAAGGCAGTCCTGTTTGTGTCACAATACTGGGACAGAACTAACAACACAGAAGAAAAAAAAAACACACAACAAACGAATAGGTTCAAAATATTGTGTTTTATTAGAGTATAATCCGTTTGCTGTTGTGAGGGTGCATAGTATGGGATAAAGTTAATGTTAATCATGTGTCTAATACTAGCTCTTGAAAGAGCATAAGAGAGTCACCTTAAATGGTACAGGCTCTCGGGGGGGGAGGGGTTTCGGGGCATGAGTTGGGGCATTCAGAAGGGAATCGAAGCAAGGCTCCGTTATAAAACAACATCAACAACACATAGTGTTTAATTTAAATACATTTTTTCTTTCGTCTTTCAATAATGTACTTAAAAGCTTTTTCCGCAGTTTTATGAATTAAAGAAAAACAAGAATGATTTCTCAGAGTCCTGTTGTAATTTGTTACACACAGATTCACGTGATATGGAAACCCCCGAGACAATTGATCACGGATCCCACACACACACACACTCATATATTGTAAATGGTGATTTTTTTTATTTTTTTTTTTTAAAGAAAGAAGAAGAAGAAGCTCTACATTGCATTTTCAAGCAACCCGTGCTCTGCACACCTGTGGTCCCACCAGCAGCTCACATGGGACACTCGATTTTCAACATATATTCTCCACCAGCCCACGGTGCATCTCCTCGCCTGATTCGGGGTATTTTCACAACCCATGGGACACAAGGCTGGAGAAATGTTAGCGTTATTTTATTTCAATAAAACTCAATCCTTTTTTGTTTCGTTTTTTTTTCCCTCTTAGCCTCCGTGGTTTGTGTGTGTGTGGTTTTTTTTTTTTTTAAAGAAAAAGAAAGAGTTGTCCAACAGAGATTAACACGTGAATGTCCCCCTTCGCCTACGTCACAAAACGCTGATCATCAGATGATCCACTCTTCGTCTGGAGGTACTATGGTGACGAATTTTTTCGATTTGCTCGATCTCTCAGAGTAGGCGGAGTATCGTTCGTCGTCCACCGCGCTGCTGCCCTCGAAGGTCCTGGAGGTCTCTGACTGCTCGTTCTCCGCATCGTTCTCGGGGTCCTCCGCTTCGGGTGCGCTTCCGATCGATGGCGTGATATCGTTCACAACATACTGCGTGCGCAGCTTTCTGTTATCTTTCATTCTGGCGAGAGAGATTTTAAGCCGCGAGATTAGTGACGATGATATGAAGATAATAATAATAATAATCACAATTGTGACCTCATTTTAATTGCTGGTAATTTATTAATGACTAAAAGCTCACCGCTCCTCGAGAGGCGTAAGATTACAAGTGAGAAGGAACTAGACAGGCGACAAAAAGTCGCCTATATGAAAGTCTTTAAAATTAGGCAGTTAAGAAAAGCCTATTGATAAATGGTGGGCTTCTGTAGAGTTTTTGAGTGATATGATTTAAACGCGTTTCTTGATAATGTCAATGGCCTTACAGTGGAGCCATGTTGAATGGCTATTCTAATCTCTATATTATTGTCTGAATTGAGACATTGATGAAGATGTTTATATGAAATCATTTTCTATAATGAAAGTGATGTGTGTACAGCCTTGGCCTTGTATTATTTCACGAGTTGTTCATGTGAGACAGATTAGACAGATAGCGTGTACTGATAGTCATAAAACAAGACTGAACCCCGAATAACATAACAGGTTGCAATAATAAACATTTTAAATTAATAAAAAAAATTTTTCAATAACTAGAATTTAATATTATAATGCTAATAATTATTATTATTATTTAACCATTTTAATAATTATTATTATTTTATTATTGGTTTGGAAGTAGCAACGACGTTTAAAAACAGCAGTACACGAGTATCAAATTGGGTCTATTCAAACCAGCCTCCGTCTTACAAACATTCATACATTAACTCTTAAAGTTCCACCAACGACCCTACAATCCAGAACAATTAGAGAAACTGGCGCGTCAAATCCGGCTGTTAAGAGATCGGATACTTACAAGAGGCACATGATGATCAGCGTTGGAATCAGCATCAGACTCGGGACTATCAACAAGTACATGCCCCGGACCATTTCATCTGTATAAGATACGAGAAATGCATTGGCTATGTGTGCGGGCTAGTAAAACACGATTCTTAGATACAAGCCGTAGTAATGTACACGCACTGTCGAAACAAGACTCCAGAGACACTTTTATAGCTTGTGTGTTGACCTAATTTTGTTTAAACGTGCAGTTGTAGCGTCCTCCGCGTAACGCTATATCACTACCCACCTGAACCTTGAAAGTTGTTTACGTTTGAATAAATTCTAGATAGAATGGAGGAGAAATGGAGGGAGTCGAAGGCTCTCAAACGAAGATGGGGTTAAGGATTTTTGGGAAAAAGGGCTAAATGAGCCTTTCGTACAAAATTTTTTTGGTGAAATTTAAATAGCATATCTAAATTGTGTGTGGGTTGGGGGGGGGGTTACTCCACACTTAATTGGAAAGCAAAAAGTGATATGCCCTAGGATTTGTAGGTGCTCCTAACAAGATTGTGTTTAAATAAGGATTTTTGGGAAAAAGGGATAAATGAGCCTTTCGTACAAAATTTTTTTGGTGAAATTTAAAATGCATATCTAAATTGTGTGTGGGTTGGGGGGGGGGGTTACTCCACACTTAATTGGAAAGCAAAAAGTGATATGCCCTAGGATATGTAGGTGCTCCTAACAAGATTGTGTTTAAATATTCTCTCACTGAGTAGGCCTACCCGGTGGAGCGCACTTTGCGGCTCGCGAACTATTGGCTGATCCCTGACAAAATGCTCCGTTGTTCCTAGGCCTGGGCTTGTCGCAATACCTGGAATTTATTATTTTTTTAGAATATTAGATCTGACACCATGTGGTAACACTGGCAGTTCAATGGAAAAAATGAATAAATACATTAAGTATTGAGTGGTCAACATTCGACTTATCGGGATGGCTACACACTTTATGGGCGAATTATCAAAGATTTCATAATGCTAGCATACAAGATACGACTCCTATCAATTTCTTTATGAATTATACTTTGATATATATGTTTATATATATATATAACTAGGTGTGTGTGTGTGATGATAAAAGTAAAGTTGTGTTTATCGTGTTATTTAATGTAAAATCAAGTGAAGTTCTACTCCGGTGAGTTGAGTTATAAGAGTTGGAGGACAGTGGGAGGACAGTGGAAGAAATGCGGTATCAGAGTGAGAAGAATGGGGAAGGAGAGTGAGAGCAAAGTGGGAAGAGAGTCAGTGTAAGAGGAAATCGGATGGAGAGTCAAAGGAGGGTGACAAGAAAGCGGGAGGAGAGTCAGTGGAGGGTGAGAGGAAAGCGGAGGGGGGGAGTCAGAGGAGCGTTAGAGGAATGTGGGAGGAGAACGGGTAGGCTATGATGTGGAGGTACACGATCCGACACCGAAGCAATAATTCACCTGGCAGTAGAAGTGTTCATTAAAGTCTATCTAACTGCATTTTACCTTTTGTTCGTCTGTAACCAGTTAGACACACAAGACCATTCACTCCATTCTCCCCAGCCGCCATTGACTAAAAAAAAACAAAAAAAACAAAAGAGCACACAATTATGCATTGAATCCTAAAGGTAAAAACGCAATGAAAGAATGGCCCCTGTAAAAGGAAAGACTTTGGCTCTTAATCCTAAAGGTATGAATTCAATTAAAGGATTGCCCTTGTCAAACTGAAGACTCTGTCAAGGTGTTGAGAACTTTCCGCTGCAACTCGTTTTATTTGATGAATATTTTCAGCGATCTGCGACAAAATATTTAGCAATCTTTGCACAAATTGAGCATTTATCTGATTAAACTTATGAAGTTATCTTGTATGTTAGCACCTCTTAACTGGGCTGTGCGAAGAAAGAGAAAGGGTTTGTAGACCCGTATGGCAATCTCCTTTTTTTAAAAAAATCCTAAATTAATTCTTATACACCTTTTTATAATGGAAAAGTTCCAAGAGCGAAAGGAAAGTTAGCGGTCTACCCCAAGCGCTAACATCGGAAGAAAAAAAAGGGGGGTTAGGGGGGGAGGTTAAATTATTCATGTAACATAAACAGGCCTATTTTTAAATAGCGTAGGACATAGGGATGTGGGCGGTTCCCCGCTGGAGAGCACTGTTTGATATATGCTATCACGGCACTTTCGGTGCAGGGCAACTACAATAAAGGTAATTGATAGATTAAAAAAAGCAATCATAAGATTTCTTTTGTCCATGAATTATTTACTTTTATTCCCTACGTTAACGCTGAAACTAACGGATGCTAAGTTATATAAAACCTTTTTTAAAAAAGAGATATTCAGATGCTGTTGATAGAAAGAAATACGATGAGAGCAAAGAAACAGTAGAGAGGTGAATATAACAAATGAGCGAAACAAAGAATGGGGAACCCTAGGGAAAAAGAACGCAACAAAACGACAAAAGTGTCGGCAAGAAGCCTTCTTCGGTGAATCAACAACAGTAAAAACAATAAAAGAATTTAACAAAAACAGCTGCAATGAAGTAGTACCCGAGAGGACAACAAGAAGAGTGTGACACAACATAAGTAGGTGAGAGGACAGCAGGGGAATGTGACAGAACACAAGTAGGTGAGAGGACAGCAAGAGGAATGTGACAGAACACAAGTAGGACAGCAAGGGGAATGTGACAGAACACAAGTAGGTGAGAGGAAAGCGTGAGTAATGTGACAGAACATAAGTAGGTGAGAAGACAGCAAGAGGAATGTGACAGAACATAACAAGGTGAGAAGACAGCAAGAGGAATGGGACAGAATGTAAGTAGGTGTGATATTAAATACAGGCACAAATGGACGGAAGAGAGCAACATTTAGATCGTCTGCGATTGGCCGCAGCGAGGAGAGTGCGGAGAAAAGGTTGATGAAGCGAATGACCAAATGACATCCATGTCATATGAGTGTCAAGATCCCTAAGTATGGATCCGTTTGATCTGTTTCCTAACTCCCCCCTCCCCCCTCCTCCCCCTCCCCCCCCCTCACCCCGTGTTAGGTTGTACAAGAAACAATGGTGGTAATAACAAAATATCCCGAATCCATGTGGTCACCTCTATTGAAGTGTATTTAGATTAGAAAAAACTGGAGCATTCGTCATGATTAATATTTTGTAATAGCTAAAATCTTAATGATTATTTATAAACAGGTCACGGTACACCTGAAATTTCCACTAGCATCTCTGCCGATGACAATACAACATAACATTCTACCGAGCATCTCAGTATCATGGTCTAAGACAAGACAAACAACACAACATTCTACTGAGCATCTCAGTATCATGGTCTAAGGCAAGACAAAAAACACAACATTCTACTGAGCATCTCAGTATCATGGTCTAAGACAAGACAAACAACACAACATTCTACCGAGGATCACAATCAGGGTCCAAAACAAGACAACACAAAAAATTGTAACTTAAAGAACGAATACCTGGTTAAATGTTTGACGAACGAATTAGTAGATCGCACTAATTTATTTTGAGAGGATAATTTAAAAAAAAAATTGACACCAGGTCTTCTGAGCAAAATCCAGATTTAACGTAACAAAACAAGAATACCAAACATAAAAAGAAATATTAAAAGATAAGAATTTCTGAGACCTGGTTCACAAGTTTTATTTCCAAACTGCTCGTCTATGCCTTTACAGTAATTCCCTTTGAACTCCGGAGTGGGATTGTCACATTCCCTGTCAAATAAATTTGTTGTCATGGTATCTGACAATAACAACACATGATACATCGGAAAATAAAGACAGAAAATCATCCCATCGAATTTCAAGACAATTTGCCACGGTAAGATCAATCATGACAAAACGTGAATCTATTTCAACGAGGACTAAACAAGAAGCTAGTTTAATGAGGACTGATATGAAGCTATTTCAACGAGGACTAAAAGTGAAGCTAGTTCAATGAGGACTAAAAGTGAAGTTAGCTTAACGAGGACTAAAAGTGAAGCTAGTTCATTGAGGACTAAAAGTGAATTTAGTTCAACGAGGACTGATGTGAAGCTCGTATCATTTAAATAGTGATGGTTTGTTAAATCTGGTAGGTCAAACAAAAAACAAGACAAGACTTTAAATGTTTGACTACGTCTACAATCACTCCATGGCTCCATGGTTGTATAATAAGTGTTGTAAAGTAAGTGCTAACTGCTTGCTAGAACGTATGGAACTGCGTCACAGAAAACTCATTGTAACCCATTCAGCATTGATACATTTGCTTGGCTTCTCGTGTGGTAAAGTTTTAACATTATTAATTACTCAACCTTAAACAAGCCAGCAACTTATTGACCCCAACCCTATCCCCAAAACCAATTTTTATTTTTTACATTTTTTTTTTTAAAAATAAAAAAATGATTAAAATGTTTAAAAGTCCCAGAATCACGTTTAGGATACTGTCCCCTTTTTGTTGAATTTCCCTATTTAAAAATAAAGGCGTACATATTTATTTACCTTCGTCTTTTCTCGGAAACGCTTTTATCGTAGGACTCACAAGTCCACTGTAGCCAGTTACCCCAGCCGCCGTGAACTAAAATGACAGAGACATGTATTAATTACTCGTTCTTCAAATGGCATCATTTGAAACGGATCTTAAAACTTATATAAACGTTACGCTTTCTCTTCAGTGCGCCTCATTGGTTAACATGAGATTTATGTAAACTTTATGGCTTCTCTTCAGAGCGCCTCACTGGTTAACATGAGATTTATGTAAACTTTATGGCTTCTCTTCAGAGCGCCTCACTGGTTAACATTAGATTTATGTAAACTTTATGGCTTCTCTTAGAGCGTCTCACTGGTCGACATTAAATTTATGTAAACTTTATGGCATCTCTTCAGAGCGTCTCATGGGTTAACATTAAATTTATGTAAACTTAATGGCTTCTCTTCAGAGCGCCTCACTGGGTAACACTAGATTTATGTAAACTTTATGGCTTCTCTTCAGAGCGCCTCACTGGTTAACATTAGATTTATGTAAACTTTATGGCTTCTCTTCAGAGCGCCTCACTGGTTAACATTAGATTTATGTAAACTTTATGGCTTCCCGTCAGAGCACCTCACTGGTTAACATTAGATTTATGTAAACTTTATGGCTTCTCTTCAGAGCGCCTCACTGGTTAATTTTAAATTTATGTAAACTTTATGGCTTATCTTCAGAGCACCTCACTGGTTAATATTAGATTTATGTAAACTCTATGACTTCTCTTCAGAGCGCCTCACAGGTTAATATTAAATTTATGTGAACGTTATGGCTTCTCTTCAGAGCACCTCACTGGTTAACATTAGATTTATGTAAACTTTATGGCTTATCTTCAGAGCACCTTACTGGTTATCATTAGATTTATGTAAACTTTATGGCTTCTCTTCAGAGTGCCTCACTGGTTAATATTAAATTTATGTAAACTTTATGGCGTCTCTTCAGAGCGCCTCACTGGTTAACATTAAATTTATGTACAATTTATGGCTTCCCTTCAGAGCGCCACACTGGTTAACATTAGATTTATGTAAACTTTATGGCTTCTCTTCAGAGCGCCTCACTGGTTAACATTAGATTTATGTAAACTTTATGGCTTCTTTTCAGAGCGCCTCACTGGTTAACATTAGATTAATGTAAACTTTATGGCTTCTCTTCAGAGCGCCTCACTGGGTAATATTAAATTTATGTAAACTCTATGGCTTCTCTTCAGAGCGCCTCACTGGTTAACATTAAATTTATGTAAACTTTATGGCTTCTTTTCAGAGCGCCTCACTGGTTAACATTAAATTTGTGTAAACCTTATGGCTTCCCATCAGAGCGTCTCATGGGTTAACATTAAATTTATATAAACTTAATGGCTTCCCTTCAGGGTCTCGTGGGTCAACATTAATTTTATATTATGCCCGTAACCTATGTTCATGTGTGCCCGTAACCTATGTTCATGTGTGCCCGTAACCTATGTTCATGTGTGCGCGTAAAACCTATGTTGATGTGTGCCCGTAACCAATGTTCAAGTGTGCCCGTAAAACCTATGTTCACTTGTGCCCCTAACCTATGTTCATGTGTGCCGTAAAACCTATGTTCATGTGTGCCCGTAACCTATGTTCAAGTGTACCCTTTAAAACCTATGTCCATGTATGCCCGTAACCTATGTTCATGTATACCCGTAACCTATGTTCATGTGTGCCCGTAACCTATGTTCATATGAGCCCGTAAAACATATGTCCATGTGTGCCCGTAAAACCTATGTTCATGTGTGCCCGTAACCTATGTTCATGTGTGCCCGTAAAACCTATGTCCATGTGTGCCCGTAACCTATGTTCATGTGTGCACGTAACCTATGTTCATATGTGCCCGTAACCTATGTTCATGTGTGCCCGTAACCTATGTTCATATGTGCCCGTAACCTATGTTCATGTGTGCCCGTAACCTATGTTCATGTGTGCCCTTAACCTATGTTCATGTGTGCCCTTAACCGATCTTCATGTGTGCCCGTAAAACCTATGTTCATGTGTGCCCGTAACCTATTTTCATGTGTGCCCTTAACCGATCTTCATGTGTGCCCGTAACCTATGATCAGGTAAGCCCGTAAACTATGTTCAAGTATGCCCGTAACCTATGTTCAGGTATGCCCGTTACTTACGTTCAGGTATGCCCGTAACCTATGTTCATGAATGCCCGCAACCTATGTTCAGGTAAGCCCATACCTTGTGTTCAGGTATGCACATAACCTATGTTCAGATATGCCCGCAACCTATGTTCAGGTATGCCTGTAACCTATGTTCAGTTATGCCAGTACCCTATGTTCCGCTGCGCATGTACCCTATGTTCATGTGTGTATTTACCATATGTTCAGGCGTGCATGTACCGTTTGTTCTGGTGTGCCTGTATCCTATGTTCACATATGCATGTACGCTATGTTCATGTGTTCCTGTACTTTATGTTAAGCTGTGCCCGTACCATATGTTCAAGTGTGCCTGTACCCTATGTTCATATGTGCCTGTAACCTATGTTCAGGTGTGCCTGTAACCTATGTTCATATGTGCCTGTACCCTATGTTCAGGTGTGCCTGTAAACTATGTTCATATGTGCCTGTACCCTATGTTCAAGTATGCCTGTACCCTATGTTCATATTTGCCTGTACCCTATGTTCATATGTGCCTGTAACCTATGTTCAGGTGTGCCTGTAACCTATGTTCAAGTGTGCCTGTACCCAGGGCCGGCCCTAACAATTGCGGGGACCTATGCCAAACGGATTGCGCGGGGCCCAGTCTGGGTAGGGAAAAGGATATTAAGTGAAAATTAAGATTTTGTATTAGAAAAAAACTGCGGTCGCATAGGTTGCAGTGGCCTAAGGCCGGCCCTGCCTGTACCCTATGTTCAGGTGTACATGTACCTTATGTTAAGGTATACATCTCCCCTATGTTGAGGTGTGCACTGTACCCTATGTTCAGGTGTGCACTGTATCCTATGCTCAGGTGTGCCTGTACCCTATTTTCAGGTGTGCCTGTACCCTATGTTCAGTTTTGCACTGTATCCTATGCTCAGGTGTGCCTGTACCCTATTTTCAGGTGTGCCTGTACCCTATGTTAAGGTGTGCCTGTACCCTATGTTCAGGTGTGCCCATACTCTGTGTTTTGTTATTTCCTAGTGCTACTTCTGACAGCAGTGACCCGCGTGTTGTTCTTTAGATATTTTGATACAATTCTTCAACCAAAAACATAAAAACTCTGAAGTCATTTAATTTACAAGACAACTGATGTGGGAAAGAGGTTAGGGGGGGGGTGATAACCCTTTAAAATGGCTAAGTACTCCACGAAAAATCGGATTGGTAAAAACACAAAAGAAAAAAAAAAAACAAAAAAAAAAAAAACAAAAAAAAAAAAAAAAAAAAAAAAAACAACATTTAATGAAGTTAAGAAATACATTTTAAAATAATAATAACTTCGATTCCAAGAAATACATCAAAACAAAATGAAAACGAAATAAAACTGAAGATTGTTGAAAACCTTTAGCACAAGTCCGATTGTGATATTCGATTTCTTCCCCATTACAGCGGAACCCACCGTCGGCTGGTTCGGGCTGGTCACACTTTCTAGCGACAATTACATTGCATATATACATTTCATTGTGTTTTCATAAAAATATCACATTTTTGTGAAGAGGAAAACCCAGAGGAAAACCCAATTTTTTTTAAAAAGGTTTGACTTTCTAAGAGAGTAATCCGTGGAATCAAAGAAACCTAGCTACAACGGTGTAACGATCGGGGAAGGGGGGGGGTTGGTTGGAGGATGGGGGGTCATCCTATTCTTATGTTACTGTGTTGTCACCCATTCTGATCATGATGTAGTTTAATGTGACCATGGTCTTAAATCAGAAAATGCGTTGTAAAGAGTCGAATCCACATTTTGTGACTTTTTAGAACAGCTTTCTATTTACTTTAAACCTGTGATGTGCATCTATATGTAACCACCCTCTTCATCCATTCATTTACTATTATTATTTATTTATTTGTTTATTTATTTTTTTTTTCGTTTTGGGAATAACATTTAAAAGCGTTTATTTAATCAAGATGAAATTGATATAGTAGCATAGGATGCATAGCTCTGACTAAAAAATTAAGAGTGAGGAAGGAGGGGGGATTTTCACAGATAAACTTACAGGAAGTAAGTGACCGATTAAATATTAAATGTGTTTTGAATATCCCCATTCCGTATAAACCAAGTGTGTTTAATACCGATGTACCTATGTAAAAACTAATTTTACATTGTTCAACGTAACTACACGACATTGTTTGTAACAATTTTTTTTTTTTAAATACGTTTGTTCATAGCTAATATTACCTGGTCCTGTGTCTCTTATCAGTTGGTTTCAAGTGCCAACAGTTCCATTCACTCCAAGGCCCCCAGTTGCCGTTAACTGAAAACGCCGTTTAACATGTTTAAGAACCAATCATTGATTAATGACCCCCCTCTTATTACGACCAATGGAAGTGGACTTACTTTTCATCTCTTCCGTCCCATTATTTGCCTGGACTATTAACTCTGTCACCTACTTATTTTCTGTCACATTCTTATTGCTGTCTCCTCGTATACTACATGTAAGTGTTTATTTATACATATATATATATTTTTTTATTGTTTTAACTGTTTGTTCGCTTCAGAAGGCTTCTCGCCGATACGTTCTTTGCGCTGTTGCGTCCTTTTTTTCAGGTTACTCCCCCCCCCCCAACTTTATTTCATTCATTTCTTTTTTGTGTCCATGCTACTAGTGTACATGTTGGGGCTAGTTAAAATAACTGAAAGATTTCAAGCTATGTGAAATCTTACAAACACTTGGGCAGAAAGAAGGCTTCTCGCCGATACGTTCTTTGCGCTGTTGCGTCCTTTTTTTCAGGTTACTCCCCCCCCCCAACTTTATTTCATTCATTTCTTTTTTGTGTCCATGCTACTAGTGTACATGTTGGGGCTAGTTAAAATAACTGAAAGATTTCAAGCTATGTGAAATCTTACAAACACTTGGGCAGATCTTACTAGGTTTGCAACAGAGGTCACTGTCTTGTCTCGCTGGTCCCTCGCATTCTTTCCCTCCGTCGAAAGGGGCGGGTTTGTCACAATACCTGTGTGTAAAACAAAAGGCATTTGTATTTAGCATGTATATTTGAAAAAAAAATGTAAAACAAGTTTTTATTTATTTTTTAAAAAATGTATTAAGTTGAGGATTCATCCACGCATGAATTTGTTAAAGTCACATTGAAATTAGATTGGTTTACGCCAGACAGCAATTGAGTACATACTCCAGTTTGCTCTCATATGGAATCTCCAGCGTATGATATTTATATTGATTAACAGCATTGTATGTATGATTACATCCATTAAAGGTAAAACACCGCATCTTGGAATAGTTTGTCACTAAAAAAAATACGTTTCTGAATTCACTCATCAAATATTTTTATTTTTTTTTAAATAGTAAAAATAAATAATGCATTGTTTCGGGATATAGCCAACATATCTTTTAAGAACAATAAATCAGAGCAGAGTTTACAAAAAAAAAACCCAATAAATTTAACTCATCATTCCGAAGTCCAAAGTCTCACCGCCTCCTAAATTTTCGGCGTATTTGTGAAGAACCAGATTCACATTCCCATTTGTCCCAGGTTCCCCAGTGACCATCGACTGAAAGAAATGGGTAAACAATGATTGACCTATACTCCTAGCAAATGAAACAATCTAATTTTGCATACACCGATGGTTTGAATTTAGGATGACATGTTAGTTTTACCATTGATAAAAAAAAAACCACAAAAAGTAACAAACGTTAGCCTGGATTTTCTGTGGTCAGGATGTTGATGTTTATGCAAGGAGACCTCAGTGTTAAGCTGCGAAGCGTTTCATCGTCTAGGTGCATCTAGTTTCACAGGCACATGTGCCTTCACTGGTGTATGTAACTTCACAGGCACATCTAGCATCTCAGGGACATCTAGCATCTCAGGGACATCTAGCATCACAGGGACATCTAGCATCTCAGGGACATCTAGCATCTCAGGGACATCTAGCATCTCAGGGACATCTAGCATCACAGGGACATCTAGCATCACAGGGAATCTAGCATCACAGGCACATCTAGCATCACAGGGACATCTAGCGTCACAGGGACATCTAGCGTCACAGGGACATCTAGCGTCACAGGGACATCTAGCGTCTCAGGGACATCTAGCATCACAGGGACATCTAGCATCTTAGGGACATCTAGCATCTCAGGGACATCTAGCATCACTGGGACATCTAGCATCACATGGACATCTAACGTCACAGGCACATCTAGCGTCACACGGACGTCTAGCGTCACAGGCACATCTAGCGTCGCAGGCACATTTAGCATCACAGACACATCTAGCATCATAGGGACATCTAACGTTACAAACACATTAAGCGTCACAGACACGTCTAGCATCACAGACACATCTAACGTTACAGGCACATCTAGCATCACAGACACATTTAGCATCACAGACACGTCTAGCATCACAGACATATTTAGCATCACAGGCACATCTAGCATCACAGGCACATCTTACATCACAGACACATTTAGCATCACAGGCACATCTAGCATCACTAGAGAAAAAGACGGCCATGTAACTCATCGTCAAATGTTTACCGGTGTACAGACAATCATGCGGCTCTATTCCCACGACGAAACGAGTTTGTCTACACACACGACAAAACGAGTTTGTCTATTCACACGAGGAAACGAGATTTTCTATTCAAACGCTGAAATGAGTTTCTCTATTACCATGGCAAAACGATTTTTTTTCATGCGTTTTATAAGGCAAACATCAGAACCAAAGTAATTCTCTTTTTTTTTTCAGTTTCATAAGGCTAAGAATCAGACTTAGCACCAGGCTTAGCATCAGACTTAGGATCAGACTTAGCATCAGACTTAGGATCAGACTTAGAATCAGACTTAGCATCAGACTAAGAGTAAGACTTGGAATCAGAATAAGCATGAGACTAGGCATCAGACTTTGCATCGGACTAAACATCAGACTTAGCATCAGACTAAGCATTCGACTTAGGCATCAGCCTTAGCATCAGACTTAAGCATCAGACTAAGCATTAGGTTAACCAACACTAAGCCTCAGACTTAAGAATCAAACTAAGCATCACACTAAGATTTCGACTTAAGAATCAGACTAAGCATCAGACTAAACATCAGGCTAAGCATCAGACTAAGAATCAGACTGAGCATCAGACTAAAAATCCGACTGAGCATAAGACTAAGCATCAGACTAAGCATCAGATTTCGATGCCAAATGTCTGATCCGTGATCGGTCATAGAAAAACGATGGTCTTCAAACTTTTACCTGACAAGGAATTGAACAACTTCACGCAGAACATGTCGTAAATCTATTTCAGGTGGATACCAAAAAAAATAAAAATAAAACTATATTACAACAGTAAATTAATTAGCTTAAAATAAATAGCTTTTGCACCACTGATGCTGTACTTTGCTAAAGATAGGATGGTTAATTTTTTGACGTCTTACTGCGATTGGTGTAATGGATGTCCTCGTCAATCAAATTGTCTTTGTCCTCATCTGAAAAAAATAATATACGTTGTTGAATTCAAGCGTTCAGTGCAAGTGTATGTAAGTTACATGCACTTTGCAACTGTATGTAAGTTAAATGAACTTTGCAACTGTATGTAAGTTAAATGCACTTTGCAACTGTATGTAAGTTAAATGCACTTTGCAACTGTATGTAAGTTAAATGCACTTTGCAACTGTATGTAAGTTAAATGCACTTTGCAACTGTATGTAAGTTAAATGCACTTTGCAACTGTATGTAAGTTAGATGCACTTTGCAACTGTATGTAAGTTAAATGCACTTTGCAACTGTATGTAAGTTAAATGCACTTTGCAACTGTATGTAAGTTAAATGCACTTTGCAACTGTATGTAAGTTAAATGCACTTTGCAACTGTATGTAAGTTAAATGCACTTTGCAACTGTATGTAAGTTAAATGCACTTTGCAACTGTATGTAAGTTAAATGCACTTTGCAACTGTATGTAAGTTAAACGCACTTTTCAACTGTATGTAAGTGAAATGCACTTTGCAACTGTATGTAAGTTAAATGCACTTTGCAACTGTATGTAAGTTAAATGCACTTTGCAACTGTATGTAAGTTAAATGCACTCTGCAACTGTATGTAAGTTAAATGCACTTTGCAACTGTATGTAAGTTAAATGCACTTTGCAACTGTATGTAAGTTAAATGCACTTTGGGGTAGGGGCGAGAATTTACGTCTCTTAAAAGCAGTTTAATATTTAAACATGTTTATCGTCCTAAGACTTTTAGAAGCTTTACAGAGAGCAACGTAAACTTATTGCTGTTGTTGTTGTTATTTTTGTTTTTTTTATATCATTAAAACTTCAATCTCACACATTTAAAGTATGACCACAGACGGAATGAATGTTGGGTCATGGTAACAGAAAGCTCATCTTGCCGCGCACAGAAACGTCTCCAGTCATGTCAACATAATTAGCAGTAAGAACAAACAAAAAAAAAAAAACTTTTCTTTTTTACCCTTATTGTTCTTAAATTCTTCGTCCACAGCTCCATCGCAGTCATTGTCAATGTGGTCGTTCTCTTTCACATTCTCCCTGGTACTCATACAATCCTGCAACAGACTGGTGGTCAAAAAAATGGGGAATAGTACGGACAACGTGATTGAAATGCCTGATACAATCCTGTACGGCGTCACGGTCAGACACCAGGTCGAGACAAAGAATTATAAATGGATTAACGACACACCCTATTACATTCAGTTTTAATGACTAAAAATACTAAAGTTGACCTCAAGGCATCCTACTTTAGGCCTACGCTGAGTAAACAGATACCATCCCATCTGCCATCGCAGGGTTCAAAAAGGGTGAGCTCATAACCTTGATCTTTGGGGTAATTCAGCCCCCCCCCCAGCTATTCGAAGTAAGCTCATAATCTTGACATTTGGGATAACTCGGCCCCAGCTATTCGAGTTAAGCTCATAATCTTGACATTTTGGGATAACTCGGCCCCAGCTATTCGAGGTAAGCTCATAATCTTGACATTTTGGGATAACTCGGCCCCAGCTATTCGAGGTAATCTCATAATCTTGACATTTTGGGATAACTCGGCCCCAGCTATTCGAGGTAAGCTCATAATCTTGACATTTTGGGATAACTCGGCCCTAGCTATTCGAGGTAAGCTCATAATCTTGACATTTTGGGATAACTCGGCCCCAGCTATTCGAGGTAAGCTCATAATCTTGACATTTTGGGATAACTCGGCCCCAGCTATTCGAGGTAAGCTCATAATCTTGACATTTTGGGATAACTCGGCCCCAGCTATTCGAGGTAAGCTCATAATCTTGACATTTTGGGATAACTCGGCCCCAGCTATTCGAGGTAAGCTCATAATCTTGACATTTTGGGATAACTCGGCCCCAGCTATTCGAGGTAAGCTCATAATCTTGACATTTTGGGATAACTCGGCCCCAGCTATTCGAGGTAAGCTCATAATCTTGACATTTTGGGATAACTCGGCCCCAGCTATTCGAGGTAAGCTCATAATCTTGACATTTTGGGATAACTCGGCCCCAGCTATTCGAGGTAAGCTCATAATCTTGACATTTTGGGATAACTCGGCCCCAGCTATTCGAGGTAAGCTCATAATCTTGACATTTTGGGATAACTCGGCCCCAGCTATTCGAAGTAAGCTCATAATCTTGACATTTTGGGATAACTCGGCCCCAGCTATTCGAGGTAAGCTTGCTCCAATCTCTGCCCTTCTTCAGCCAAAATGCGTTTCGTTTCCTTCATCTCCCACCCCGCTCAAAGCCAATGGATACATTTTTTTTAAAAAATAAGCAAAATTCCTTGCTTGATAAACAAAGACATCGTCACCTGATATCCCGCTGGGTGCATGTAGGACTGTAGGGGACTCTCGCCGTACAGGTAACAACCGAACCGAGCGACAGGTAACGTCTCAAGGTTATTCATGCCCAAGTTCGTTGGGAAGAGGTTCGTCAAATATTCGTTTTTCCCGACAACTGTGCCCCAAACACGGCTTCAAAAAAATGGTAAGATAAGGTTTTTGGTTATAGCAGAACAGTCACGCAACAAACTCTTTTGGCGACAGGGTCCTAATTTAGTGTCAAAGTCCTGATTTGGTGTCAGGGTACTGATTTGGTGTCAAGGTTATGATTTGGTGTCAAGGTCCTGATTTGGTGTTAAGGTCCTGATTTGGTGTCAAGGTCCTGATTTTGTGGTCCTGATTTAGTGTTAAAGTTCTGAATTAGTGTAAATGTCCTGATATAGAGTCAAAGCCCTGGTTACTTACTTAAAATATGCCTTTCTGTCCCGTCTGGAGGGGGACATAGGGCGTCCACATGGGTTTCCCGCTCACCATGGTCCTGTGCTTTCCGTTCCAATTTATTCCAGGTGTATCCCATATTTAGTGTGTCTGCCTCTAGCTCCCGTCTCAATGTATTCTTAGGCATTCCTCTCTTTCTTTTTCCTTGTGGGTTCCATGTTAGGCATTGTCTGGTGGTGTTATCTATCCACCGCCATCTTTTCTTTATGATATCTTTATCAATGGGCACCTGGTATGTCCTTTATAGTAGATTTTCGTTGGTGACAGTCTTTGGCCATTTGATTTGCAGGATTTTTCTGAGGCATGTGTTTATGAATGTCTATACTTTCTTTGTATTGCTCGCTGTTTTCTTCCAAGTTTCTGCTCCAAATAATAGAACATTGTATAAAATATTCTATCTTTGGTTTGCAGCTTAAGCTCCTTTAACTCAGATATTTTTTTTAATAGCACAAATTCCGATCTAGCTTTTCCAATTCTGGCCCTTACGTCCGCGTCGAATCCGTCATTTGTGTCTATGGTGCTGCCTAAGTATGTGAAGGACTCCACTTCCTCCAGTGCCTTTCCTGCCAGCCAGATATGCTCTTGGTTTGATGGGTTTACCTTCATGATTTTTGCCTTGCATTTATTTATATTGAGAGCAAGCTGTGCTGAAAAGATCGCAACGTATATTGTCTTTTCCTGCATGTGTTGCTGGTTGTGCGACAGAAGTGCAATGTCGTCGGCAAAGTCTAAATCATTCAGTTGTTCCCAGAGTGTCCACTGTATCCCATTCCTCTTTTTGCCTGTGGATTTTTTCATTATCCTGTCAATATCAAGGATGAATAGAAATGGGGACAAGAGGCACCCTTGTCTGACTCCCTTTTCGACTGTAAAGGAATCTACATTCATGGACCACCATGCATGTCATTTATTCATAAGAGCTCTGGATTATCCTGACTAGTTTCCCTGGTACTCCATAGTGCCGAAGAAGTTTCCACATGGTTTTTCAGCCCAAGCTATCAAAGGCCTTTTCGTAGTCTATAAAATTTAAGTATAGGGGGGGGGGGGGAGTTCCATTCGATGGGCTGTTCTCAAATGATTATTAGAGTTACAATTTGATCATTATCCTGACTAGTTTCCCTGGTACTCCATAGTGCCGAAGAAGTTTCCACATGGTTTTTCAGCCCAAGCTATCAAAGGCCTTTTCGTAGTCTATAAAATTTAAGTATAGGGGGGGGGGGGAGTTCCATTCGATGGGCTGTTCTCAAATGATTATTAGAGTTACAATTTGATCTGTGCATGATCCGTTTTGGCGGAATCCAGCCTGTTGATCCCGTAGCTGCATGTCAACCTGGTCTTTTATTCTATTCAAAATGATTGTGTTAAAGACCTTTCCTTGTACAGACAGCAGTGTGATTCCTCTGTAATTTGCACAATTGCTGAGATCCCCTTCCTTTGGGACCTTGATGAGGTATCCTTATTTCCAATCTTTTGGAACTCTCTCTTCTTCCCATATCTTTTCAAAAAATTGTTCAGCATGTTGACTGCTGTATTTATATCAGCTCTCATCATCTCTGTTGTGATGTTGTCCGGTCCCGGTGATTTCCCTAATTTGAGCTGCTTGATGGCCAGAGCTATTTCTTCCTTATTTGGTGTGCTTGCTTCTATATCAACAAATTTCAAATTGCAAACACCTTCTGGGATGATTGTCAACATTATTTTCCAGTTAATGCATAATGGCTGTGTTGCTTATGGTTGAAATGGCTAGAAAGACTTTGACATTGTATGCTTGTACTTAGTTTTTGTCGTGTTGCGTTTGTTTTAAATGTGGTAAACTATAGATTTGTTTTTTGTTGACTTTGTACCGCGCTTCGAGCCTTTGGGGATGAAGCGTGTTTTTGAAATGAACTTTATTATTATTTATTATTATTTGTAAGTCTTTCTTTTGCTGGTTGTATTTCTGGTGTGTCTGTGGGTAGGGGTCTGTTTAATAGTTCCTTAAAATATTCCATCCATCTTTTTTGTTGCTCTTTCCTTTTTGTTATTGTTCTACCTTCTCTAGCTTTGACAGGTCTCTCCGGCCTTTTGTATCTCCCTGACAGTTTTCTTGTTATGTGGTAGAGCTCTTTCAAGTTGCCCTTCCCGGCTGCTTCTTCTGCTGTCGATGCTAGGCCATCTACGTAGGCATTTTTATCCTTTTTTAACACTGTTTTTTTACCTTTTGGTTTGCTTCTTTATATTTCTCTTGCGCTTTCGTTTTCTCCGCCCTGGTGCGGCTGCTGATAACTACATTTTTCATTTCTTTTCTCTCTTTTATTTTTTGCAGTGTGTTTAGTGAGAGCCAGTCTTTTTGTATCTGTTTCACTGATCCTAAAACTTCTTGGCAGGTGGATGTTACAGACGTCTTTATACTTTGCCCTGTAAGTTCTACTTGGTAATCTTCTGTTTGGTCTTTTGTTTGATCTTCCAGCGCTTGGAGCTTATTTCTCAAAGTAGCACTGAATTCTTCCCTTTTCTGCTCATTTGCCAGAAGTGCACATTGAATTTGGTTCGCTTGGCAGTTGACTGTTCCCGGTTTTCCATCAGCTTAAACTTAAGTCTTGCCCAAAACAAGATGATGATCGGATGCGACCAAACAAGATGATGATCGGATGCGACCAAAAAAGATGATGATCGGATGCGACCAAACAAGATGATGATCGGATGCGACCAAACAAGATGATGATCGGATGCGACATCTGCTCCTCTTTTTCATCGTACATCTTGTAGAGACTTTCTAAATTTTTTGCTGATACATATGTGATCTATTTGGTTTAGCGTTTTGTTGTCTGGGGATACCCATGTTATCTTGTGAATGTTTTTATGTTGAACTTCGCTACCTCCAATAACCAGCTCATTTGTTGCGCAGGGGTCTGCTAGTCTTTCTCCTTTCTTATTTCTCTCTCCTACACCATGACGTCCCATGATTTCCCCATATCCACTGTTGTCTTTTCGAATCTTGGCGTTAAGATCTCCCATTAAGATGCCCAGGTCTCTATTTGGGGAATTTATCTATTATTGCTGGTATTCTATTGTAGAATTTTTCTTTCTCATCTTCTTTGCTATTGTTGGTGGGTGCATAACACTGTATTATGTTCATCTTTATTTTCTTTTTCTTAGTTTAAAAAGGTTGCTGTTTTTATTCTTGGTCCTTGGGCTTCAATGCTTCCTGTGCCTTCCTTGACAGCATCAAAGCGACGCTCGAGTACATTAGCATTTCTCAAGAGTCCTATGTTATTTGTCCAGCTTGTATCAATCTTGTTTCACAGATTCCAAGCAGTGTAAGTTTGTAGCTCTCATTTCTGCTACCACCTGCGCTGCTTTCCCTGTTTCATACATGGTTCTGACGTTCCACGTTCCTCTGTTTGTTTCCTTGGAAAGGACGGTCTTCGGCTTTGAGGCTTCCATTATAGCCTGGGTTTGACCACAAGGCTTCATAGCTCTTCTTGGAGAAGAACAGCCCTCTCTTCTCAGGACTGAAATTTGTTGACGTTTCTGTAGCAACTTGTTTTTACGGGTGAGTTAGCTGGCCTCACGCTAAAACTCCTGCTTTTGCACCCGGGTTTGAGACCGGCCTTGGTGGAGTCCTGATTTAGTGTCAAAGTTCTGATTTAGTGTCAAACTCCTGATTTAGTGTCAATGGCCTGATTAAGTACCAAAGTCTTGATTTAGTGTAAAAGTCCCGATTTAATGTCAAAATCCTGATCTAGTTTCCACGTCCCGATTTAGTGTCAAGGTCATGATTTAGTGTCAAAGTCGTGATATTGTGTCAATGTCCTGATTTAGTGTAAATGTCTTGATTTAGTTTCAAAATCCTGATTTTGTGTCAAAGTCATGATTTAATGTCCACGTCCTGATTTAATATCAACGTCCTTATTTGGTGTCAAAGCCCTGGTTTAGTGTCAAAGTCTTGATTTAGTGTCATAATCCAGATTTAGTGTAAAAGTCCCAATTTAGTTTTCAAAGTCTTAATTTAGTGTCAAAGTCTTCATTTAGGGTCAAAGTCCTGATTTAATGTCAAAGTCCTGATTTGGTGTCACAGTCCTAATTTAGTGTCAATGTCCTGTTTTAGTGTTAACGTCCCGATTAAGTGTCAAAGTCATGACTTAGTGTCAAAGTCATGACTTAGCGTCAAAGTCATGATTTACGATTGGCGCAAATCATGTAACGTTTGAGTTATCTAATACGATTTTACATGTAATTTATGAAGCGCTTAAAATGATTATGAGTCGCTCTATTGAACGAGAGAATTTTAAACTCTGTTTCAGCATCCTTTAAAATTTAACCAGTTTGAAATTTTGATACATAATAATATTATATATATATTTTTTTAAAATAAAACATTAAAAAAAAAAAAATTAAAATCCCTTGCATTCCTACACCCACTAACCCTCTTTTTTAAGTTCAATCTAATTTTGATGACACATTCAAATCAAACCAATTTTCTCACGTATCGTTGTAATTGGCGTTTGCTTGCAGCTATTAAAAGAGTATTATAAATATAATTTGTAATTTTAATTTCCCGAAATAGCATTTTTTTTTTAAAAATCTACTGTTTAAGTTTCCACTTGCCTTTAGGATAAGTCACACACACATACGCTCACACACGCACACACACACACACACACGCGCGCTCACACACACACACGCGCACGCTCACACACACCCGCTCACAC